GAAAAAAGAGGAGTAATATACCTATATTGGGGTACTGGAAAATTAATTAATAAGTGTACCAGCGGCAAACTGACCATATAGTACCAACAAAGCAAAAAAATAAAAAATACTTTAATTCGATTAGTTAAAAATTGCCGAAAAAATTAGGCAACACCCAAGTGTAACACACACACACACAAAAATATGTGAAAATATAAATAAAAAGAAAAAATATATTTAAAATCAATGAAACTAGCTCGATAGCTATGAGTATGAAAGGTTATAATATTGCACTCACAAGGTATAGCACACGTCTGTGCGGTACCAAACTGGATCCTATACAAAATGGTATATGGGGGGGGGGGAACTGGTATAAGGGATATAAATGCCTGTATATACGATAGAATGTACTGCCTTCAAGCCGGAAAGTCTATGGAAGACATTAATGAAAAAGTAAAGCCTGCTAATGCGGCATGGCGGGTTAGCCGGTATATCGGGAAATAACAGGACAGAGGAGGCAGTGAAAAAGAAAAAGGTAGTAAGTAGTATGAACTACAAAAGCCCCCCCGTGCCTTCAAGGGCACCTAGAGCCAACCCCCCATAGATAAAAGAGATGGAGTGCAATAATGAAACCAACAAGTTAGATTGGTGGCATAGGGACACTTAATTTTCCAGTACCCCAATATAGGTATATTACTCCTCTTTTTTCCTTCTGTAATTCCACTAGGGGTTATCCCCCTCTCCTGTAATATACCTCAGCAAGCCGTAGCAAAAGTGTTTCTATATTTCAACAGGCTTCAGGAACAGGAGACTAGGAGAACTGTCATCGCCCTCCTCTTCCTTCCCCCATTTTGTTTTTCTTTCTCTTCCTCGTCTCTCTTTCCAAAGTAACAATACTTGGGCTTATTCAATTTTGCAGTTCATGAGTGACCTCGAGCCCCAATGTTACCTGGTTGGAGCATAGGAGTTTTATGGTGAGCTCAATAAAAAACAAAAACAGAGAAAAAAACTGAGCTGAAAATGGGAAGCACTTGCTGGCTGGGGATTAACCTTGTTAGTACAATAAGCAAACTAAAATCTAAGAAGGCGTTTCCAGAATGTAGAACTATTTAGAAATACATTTATTTTAGTATCTACATTGAATAAAATAAAACTTAACCTTTATTTAGTTGATTAAAATTAGAAATACACATATCACTGTAGCCCAGGACAGACCTTGAATAAAAACACAAGTGAGAAAAACCTCACATATAAAGAATGTAACAAGCTTCTAACTACAGAGCAATGAATGCCAATCCTAATAATGTATATACAGGTAGAAGAACAACCCCTCTGATAAACCATCTCAGGCGAAATGCGAGCTTCAAGGGCTCAGATGTATTTCCATTAATGTGATGTACTCTGCCACTTAGTATCACAGGCTTTCGGACCACCGGCAACACATTATTTCACTCTGTGTTGCTTTAAAAAGCTGTATAACAGCAAGTTATTTATTTTTTACTTAGGGGCTATTTAGTGATTTAGCTGGATGCTTTCCTAGTGACGATAGTGACTTTTTAGGGACAACTACATGTCATAGATAAAAATCCACTGTTTAGGTAATATCGGTTACCTTATAATGTACCGGCAATTTGCAGTAGCAATACGAGTCTATGTGCTGCTATTTTACAACTTGATACAATTTTGTTACATGTTTGAAACTAATTATCACTGTATCCCTCCCCCCCCCAACATCTCTCCTCCCCCTTCCCCCTTCTTTTTTTTTCTCTTTCTTGCAGTCCACCTTTTTATTCCTTCTTTTTTTTTTATCTCACCATGACTAGAATAGTTGGAGAATTGGGGAATGGGTAGGGGGTATGTGGAGGAGGTTCTGATAAAAACATAGAGGAATGACGGGCACTTCAGTGGCAAAAACTCAACAATAAAACAGAAAGAACTAGGCCCAGATTCTGACCTTCATATTGTATTTATTGACTTTTGTTCATGTATCTATTTTCTAAATATTTAAATTTGATAACTGTTTGACTTGCATTTAGTAACACACATATGTTCCAATGGAGTTGGCTTATAAACCCTGTGATGTATCCTTCCAAACGTATAATATCCTAAGGTTGGTGTATGCTCAGGTGATAGCGAGATCACAGAACACGTGTTACCCTTGATACGCGTGATATATTTCTAGCCTGTATCAATTATGCCAACGAAACATCATGTACTTTTTGCATTATTTGTGATGTATGTAATCTACTTTTTCACTTTCACTTCATTTTAAATAAAGATTGTCTAAAAAAATAAAACTATATATATATATATATATATATATATATATATATATATATACATTGAGTCTGCAGTTTGGAGGTTGCCCAAAATGCCCATACGAAATAGGTATTTCCGGGGCAGAACAAGCAGCACACTCAAACTAACACTTGTACTCACTCCTGTGATAGAACATAAAGTTAACATATACCTGATGTATACTCTGTACAAGGAATCTTAAATTGCTGAACTACAACTCCCAGTTATTGCATTTATAGACTTCTGGGAGTTGCAGGCCATCAACATCTGGTGGGCCAGAATTTGAGATTCATGCTCTACATTTTCACTCACCAGTAAAGTTCTAGACTTTCATTGGATTTTGGTAGCACATTTCATATCCAGATTACCCACCTTTGTTTACAAGTCAAATTACCCCATTTATCAATTTGCCAAAAACCTGCCACATTCCTTTTTGTTCAACTGGAGAATAGAGCATAATATAATACTCAAGCAGGTGACTTTATAAGAGATTAATATAGCACAACAGTTGAAAAAAATCAATTGCCCTTGTATAATAAAAATAACGTCAGTGCCTATGTTTCTTTATATTTTTAAAATAAACCCTCTAGTATTCATAGTTGTGTTTTGAAGAGTTCCAAAAGAAAATTAGCAAGCATGTTAATGTTTAAAACAGACCTAGGATAGTGGCATCAATTGAAAATAGAACCTGACCCAGAAGTAAGAGGGAGAAGTAAGAGGGAGTTGAGACTCACTAATTAGCAGAGTTATTCATTATAGTGACAATTCAAGGTGAAATCGCAGTGAATTTCAAATGCAAGATAAAAATAGCTAAACCGAAAACATTCTCATAGCCAGATATGCTTCTTATACAAAACAGAGGGGGTAGATACAGCGCTAACTCTGAAGGCAGCAAGTCTGTAGTATGGATACCCTAACAATCCAAAATGAGAGGACAAAAAAACAAAATTAAAAAAGGGAACAGACTGCGCCAAATGTTCTTCTTGTTTCGCTCCTCTGGCATTTTGAATTCCAACTTTAGTAAATAATCCTGTTAGGCTTGGATCTACATTAATCCAAGTCATAATGTTGCACATCTGAGGGGATGTGCTTTATAAGTTTGTTTGTAAAATTCATGTTTGATCTCTATAGATATGGTGAGTACTTTTATGCAGGGACGGACTGACAGCCATTTTGGCCACCGGGTGAAATTAGGTCCTCGGCCCTTTGAAGGCCAGTATATATATATATATATATATATATATATATATATGTATATGTATTAGATAAATATTAAATATAAGTTTATAAGTTTCATATAATGTTGGGTATTACTTTTGTTGCCTATAGTGTTGTTTATGAATGCATGTGAATGATAATTTTGTGTAATGCTGATATGTGTGAAACCCAAAGAATATTTTGTGTATTGAAAGTGAAAGTAAAATGCAGTTTTTTTGCATGCAGTGTACATGTATGAAGGGCAGGCAGTGTTCTATTAGAATGTAGAACAGATATGTGTGAATGCAGGGATTTATTTATTGGGGTTAAATGCAGGAGTGTATTATTATGGAATTTTGGTGTGTGGATACAGAAGTATATTTGTTTAAAGTATCAGTGTGTGTAGGAGTGTATTTGTGTGCAGTGCTTGTGTCTATGTAAAGGAAGGGATATGAAATGCATTTGTGTGGAAGAAGCTGTGTGTGTAAATGAAGGTGACTGCTGGTGTGTGAATGTCTGTCTGTATTAATGTGGACAGTCTGTGCATGGATGCAGGGATATAATGTTTGTGTTGAATTTGAGCAGTCAGTGTTAGTGTGTGTGTGTGTGTGTGAATGTAGAAGTCTATTTGTGAGGAGTGTCAGTATGTTTGTGAACCACCACAGGGCCGGCAGATATACACAAACATGTATACCCAAACACAGAAATACATACAGTGACACAAACACACACGGTCAAATAATATATACACAGATATACATCAAATGACACTCACAATCAGATAATATACACACATATATACATAGAGTCACACACACACACAATCAGATATTATACACACAGATATACATAGTGACACACACAGTCATATCATATACATACATATATACATACAGTGACACACACACAGTCAGATAATATACACAAAGATATACACATTGTGACACACACAGTCAGATAATATACACACAAATATACACAGTGTTGTACACACAGTCAGATAATATACACACATAAAAGTAGTGACACATACAAATACACAGCTGCTATGCGCTGTGTATATACTTTATTTATGTTACTTATTTTGGTTTATACTGTTGTAAATCTGACTGTACCCCATGTTCCAGTGCCCCCCCCCCCCGAGATGTGCCCCCTCCACCACCATGCAAAAAGCGGGAAAAACAATGACAAGACCCTGCACTCATACTCCGGAGAGGTACTGGGAAACACTATATTCACCCAGACAGGCCCCGGGGCCAACCTGACCTCACTGCAATGACCCCCTCCCATAAATTTCACATAGTGTCCCTCAAAGCCCACGGCCTAAACACCCCGCAAAAATGCAGGTTGGTGATGTCCTAACTACGTACCCTACATGCCTCCATAGGCTGTATACAAGAAACCCACTTTTCGGTCAAAAATCCCCCAAAGTTCTCATCCACCTCCTACCCACTGGCATATCATGCCCTAGCACCAAATAAGACACGAGGTGTCAGTATCCTATTTTATTCTGACTGGCACTTCCAATGGACGGTAGGCTTTTAATACTGGTAGGACTCCTCAACGATATCCAGGTGACTATAGCCAACTTATATGCCCCCAACACCAACCAATATGACTTCCTTCGGAAAGCTTTAAGACGGGTCAACCAGCTAAAAAAGGGGCAGACGCTCATTTGTGGGGACTTTAATTGTGTGCTGGACCCTGCTCTAGATAGGACTGGAAACCCTGGCTCCCACCTAAGATCTACACATCTGGGGGAAAACCTGTTAGCACTCATATACTCCCACGGCTTGCATGATACTTGGCGGGCACTGTACCCAGCCTCTAAAGACTACACTTTTTACTCTAAGGTTCATGATCAATACTCCCGCATAGACATGAGCCTGGTAGACACTAAAACACTAGATACTTTAGACGAGGTTTCCATTGCCCCGATAACCTGGTCTGACCACACTCCCCTTACATCATCGTTCACCACACTCCACCCAGTCCGAGGACAGTGGAGACTCAACAAGTCTCTGATAGACAACGCAGAGAGAGCGGCCGAGATAAGGAGATCCCTAGTACACTACTTTGTGGACAACCAGTACACTGACACAACCATTGTCACGATGCGGCTTGCCCATAAGGCAGTCACGTGTGGCATGCTCATCCAACAGAGTGCGAAAATGCGGCGCCAACTCTCAGAGAAAAGCGTGTCCTTGCTCAAGGACTTAAAGCAGGCTGAAATACAACATAAGGCGTCAGCCACTGAATCCCGTAGGCAAGAGGTATAAAAGCTTAGGACCACCATAGAAGCCCTACAAATGCAACAAGTAGAACTGGCAATTCGAAAGATGAAAACAAATTATTACAGACAGGGAAATAGGGCAGGCAAGCTGCTAGCTTCTCAGCTCAGGGAAAGAACCTCCCAGATGAAAATCCCATATGTCAGGGATAGTACGGGTGCTAAGCTTATGAACCCTAAGGAGATAGTAGACGAATTTGCTTTGTTCTATGCTAAGCTGTATAATCTATCTGCAGATTCCACCCAGCACCAACCCAGCCCCCAAGATATTACTACCTTTCTAGAGGAGGTGAACCCTCCCCAGCTCTCCAGCGAACAGGCCACTACACTGACCGGCCCAATTTTAACTGCCGAAATATCCAAAGCACTACATGACACCCTGAAACACAAGGCCCCAGGACCGGACGACTTCTCCACGCACTACTACAGGGTCTTTGAGGACCAACTGCTTCCCCACCTCACGGCCCTATTCAATCACATCATAGAGACGGGTAAAGTTAGAGGCCACCATCATAACGCTCCCCAAACTGGGTAAAACTACAGACTCCTGTACAAACTACCGCCCAATCTCACTTCTTAATGCTGACACAAAACTGTTCGCCAAGGTCCTTGCGAACAGGATTCGCCCCCTACTCTGTCAACTTGCATTGCCTGAGCTGTCGGGTTTGTACCCAGGCGCCAGGTAGAGGACAACACCAGATGAGCTCTCGACATAATGGAACTCATGAGCATGGGCAGGACACAGGGACTAATGATGGCCTTAGATGCAGAGAAGGCCTTCGACAGGCTCCCCCCCCCAATAGGCCCACAAAAAATAGCAGTATTTGACATTCTCCTTTTCCTTACAAGACCCTCTGACTCCTTCTGGCTCTCTTGCACCTATTAAATGACTACGGCCGAGTTTCCTATTACAAAAACAATGTGGCAAAGACGCAAGTACTCTCCATGAACCTGCCCCGATCCCAACTCATGACCCTATGGACACTCTATCCCTTTGAATGGAGGAAAAACACAATTTCCTACCTAGGAACGCAACTAGCACCCTCTAAGCAAAACCTCATAAAACACAACCATGGACAACTCAGCACAAACGGAGTGTTGCTGACCATCAAACTGGGAAGGGTTATAAGTTAATTTCCAAACAATTTAAAGACCATCTACAGTGAGATAGATTATTCAAATTTAGAAAACATTCAGAACAGTTGCAAATCTTCCCAGGAGTGGACATTCCAGTAATTTCACACCAGGGTCTGAGTTGCATCTTAAAGTTAATGACAGTACAAATAGAAACAAAAAACTGAACAATTATGTTTTTTTTTATTTTTTTAAGGGTTGCCAGGAGAAAGCCGATTCTCTCTAAAAGGAACACAACAGCACGGGTTAGGTTTGCAAAGCTGCATCTGAACAAACCACAAGAATTATGGAACAATGCCCAATGGACAGACTAGACCAAAGTGGAGATGTTTGTCCATAATGCACGGTGTCAAATTTGGCTAAAATACAAACACAGCATATCAGCACAGACACTTCATACCAACTGTCAAGCATGTTGTTTTTGTAACCTCGGGATCTGGGAATGTAACAGTCATGGAGCTTATTGAGCAAGTCCACTAACCTATGTGCATATTCTAAAAAACGTCTAATGCAGAAAAGTTTATGGAATACGAAAAAGTCCTGTTTACCACAATGAGCAGATCTGCCAGCTGCAGCACTTGCTTTTGAAAATAAATATATTAATGTTTACTTTATTTTTTACATTTATTATAGTGTATTAAAGAAATATGTCACACTTTCTGCCTCTTCTATCAGTTTAAGATTAAATATTTTTTTAGATTTATACAAGCTGTGTAGTAATACAACATAATTTACATTTTAAAGTTTACAAAGACATCCTCTTTTCTCAAAACTACTTTAAATTTCAGCAACACTTTCAAGATATAACTTGGTCTATTTTAATGTCTTTGTTTTTATTATTTCTCAAGTTCATTTTTGTTTTTTTTGTTTTATCAGTAAACTCTTTTCCATCTATTTGATATATTTGGTTACGAGGAGACAAATCCACCTGACTTGTATAAAGCTTTGAATTTAAATCTCAGAGTCTGACTCCTGTGTGAAGTGGGTTCCTGTGCTTCTAGTGGAGCACAGTTGCTCAGTCAAGCCTGCTCGCTCTATCAGTTGTACATCAGCATGCGCCTCTTGTCACAATCCTCGGTCTGAAGTTGGTACTTTTCCAAATTCTCTGCTGGTGACTTAAAATCTGTCTTCACAGGAACGGTGTTTGCAGAGGATTATTATGTGGAAAAAAATCCCAAATCATATTCTGACTCCTTCAAAAAGATCTGTAAAGTCTGCTGTACATATTTCCATCGCAAACAGCACCAGACACTTCTTTCATATGTCTGAAATAATAAGAAAAAAATATAGGTAATTCGACCGATGCAAATAATCTAGAACATATGAAGTTATGCCTCACCAAGATGTGTAGAATTCAAGGCAAATTGTTGTAGCAGAAATACAGCGCTTGATCATGAATTACACTCTTTTCCTGGATTTCATTAGATATATATTTATTTATTTTTATTAAGGAATAGTAAAAACATGAAAAGGCTCACTGGGGAAAACATAAGCTGAAATAAGTTTGATGGACAGCTTGTTTAATTAAATGGCTTAAATTTGTGACTGCTGAGAACAGGTACATTTATAAAAAATAAAAAAAATAAAAATAGATAGATAGATAGATAGATATTTTGGGGCTGTGACATTCCCACGAACGTTGTGCACTTATTTTATTATTAATATTACTTTTATAGCACAAACAAATACTGTAGTATGGAATAGATTGTGTACTGGTTGATGTATTAAACTTAGTTTGACAGATACTGATGCAATATATTATTAGATAATAAAAAAAATAACAAAAATGAAAATTACTTTCTCCAAAAACATTAAACTCAGATTGATACATTTCAGTACTCTACCATGATTCTTATGCTAGTACATAGATTAAGATATGAATGTTTGATAACTATATGAGGGCAGCACTGTTCCATCATTTTTAGATTTGTCCACATGGTACTACATGTCAGCAACAGGATATTTACTATCATGTATCTTGTTTTAACACAATGCATAGTATTTGGACATGTGGGCCCAGGTGCCGAATGCATGTTGGTTTTTATTGTTACAATCTAGAACTCTACAAGACCTGTTTGTTGGAGATAAATGATAATAGAACTGCTGTTGAGATAAAGTTTACAAGGTCCTTTTGAGCAACTAGACCAGTGTTTCCCAACCCAGTCCTCAAGGCACACCTACCAGTCCAGGATTTAGGGATTACCCAGTTGTGTCTAAGGTGTTTTTTTTCTTCTTTGTAAAAACACCTTAGACACAACTGGGTAATCCCTAAATCCTGGACTGGTAGGTGTGCCTTGAGGACTGGGTTGGGAAACACTGAACTAGACAGTGAGGATAACCGGGTAGGGAGCTGTTATGAAGCGGGAAATTCTCCCACTACTCGCCTTACATATATCCTGTCACAGGTGCTCATTCCAGTGCCCTATTTAATCTTGCACTAAGGAAAGACCCAGGAGGAAGGATTCCACAAGTAAATCATAATCTCATAAGAGCAGGCATTAGATGGCTTGGATAGGACTTGCAGAAATTGGGGTACACTGGAGTTACATAAACTCTTTTTTTGTTTTTTAAAAAGGTTTAGATATAGTAAGCTTTGAAACTGGTGTTTAGTGAGTGACTGTGATGGATTCTGTATGTATTCTGTCCTCAACAGCCTTCCTTCTTTAATACATATATACTGTATGTACTAAAATGAAATATATCTAGTTTATAGACAATTAGAAGATTTTCACCTGCATTTCACAAGTAGATCTTCACTTTGCTAAATTATTTAACCCCTTAGTGAAGTAATGTGTGTTAGATCTTCTGCATAGGAGCCTGTATCCAAATTATTGCAAAAAGTCCACATATTTCAAAAGGATAAAAGTTGTTACTATGCAAAGGTTTGTGATTTAAGTCAAGAAAGTCACGTCCGGAGAGTCCTTCAGAGTCAAATGCGAGAAAATTGCTTGAGAGGTATCGTTTTCTGACAGGAAATGTAAAAAGAATGTCCATTTACATGACATGAGTAGTATTGTAATCATATAGTTCTCTCCAAATGGCGAGCTAATGGCTCCAAAGCCAGCATTTAAAGGTGATTTACTTTAAATCAAAGAAATTGTTACATTTTAAAATGACCATTTAGTGATTTTTACTCTAGCCTTGTTCAGATTTATTATATATCCATTTGGAAGTTTGTGAATAGAATTTCTTATGAGTTATCCTTGATAAATTTTTTTATCTCATGTGTAGCTTGTGTTCGGCCTCTCCGATCTAACCTGTTTAAGCAAGGAATGGATTAAACATGTTGACCCTTCAGCTGTCATGGGGTATTATGAAGCCATTGTGTGAGGTGTCTATGGGCAAATGAATAGTTGGTCCTTTCTCAATAACTAGTCAATAACGAAGACAGGGTTTACAGTTAGAAAATAACATGGAAGGCTCAAGAATGCTGAAAACTGTAAGCTAAATCAAGTCTACCGATTTGATGATGTGTACACAACCTTGAGGAGGCTCCGTGTGAGGTATCCCCCTCCATTACCATTTCTTCAATAATAAAGTTGGCCCTTTGACAAGAACATAAGAGTAAAAAACAACCCCTATAGAAAAAGAATTCATACCTTTATTGAAAAAGTCCGACACATTTTGTCTGTTAGCACTTCATCAGAGACTCAAAGAATGGTGATTCTCTGATGAAGTGCTAATGTAAAAAAAAAACTTCAGAGTTTTCCCTTCACCTTCCTGTCCCATTCATTGCCCGTAGTATATTTTTCAGAAGATGGAATGAAGGTATGCATTATTTTTCTACATTTATTCTTGGATGGAGGCTATTTTGTCTGTCACTCTTGTTGAAGACTGAAGAGCTAATTTTGTAGT